AACCAGCTCGTCAGAACAGTCTCTTGGGCTTGCCCTAACACAGGGTATAACGTATTTGTCACGCTACTTATGAAATATATTCCATGATCATTTTGAACAATCGATTGATTTGTTTGGGGTCTGAGTAAAAAGGTTTGTCTGATTTTCGTTAGTTTTAGAGATTAAAATATATTATAAAAATTCCTTCACAATGTTAGGAAAATTAAATTGAATTTTAATTTAAAATTCATGGCGATTGAATGCTTAATAAATTAATCTCTAAATAACTTTACTTACACTTGTAATGCCTTTATCAATAATACAACTTCTCTCTCTATATCTGCCTCTCGCTCGCACCCACGCTGTTTTCTTTTTACGTGATAAGCCGTCTGGTACACAAACGAACGAATCCTGGTTCCACCCCGGCGAGATTTGCCTTTATCTCAGTCGAGCTTTCTTTTATTGTTTATATATAACATGTATGTATGTGTATATTGTATATTTTATATATATATATTATTTATTTCTTTCTAAAACAAATGTAAGAACAACTTCTTAGCATCTAGGAACTATATAAGCCAGTTTTCATGGGAACAATAGCAAAGAAACCCGAAGTTGGGCTCTTCATGCGAAATGCAATGACAATTTTCATATTTATGTTTGCCTTAATTGAAAAGGGTATTTAAATTTGTGCTACGATTACTGTTTCTTGCATTAATATATTTATTTTTTGGCAGCTGGGTCATTGGCTGCAACTGCAGCAAGTCACGAGTGAAGACGTCATACTGTGTAATAGATACAAATAAAATATCTGCAAGACGCTTTGGCCAGATCACAGATGATGATTAAGCCTGGCTAGTGGATAGTCATTGCTGTCAGCTGCTTACGCAGTCTACAGTTAACCACAATAACAGCAAAAGCAACAGACAACAACAACAACAACAACAACAACAACGACAAAACAACGTTTATTCACATTCATAAATGCGATGAATCACGGCCAGGTAACCAGGCCAGGCCGTGTTTGTTCTCTCGATTCGCTGAAATACCTTCAATGCCCACACACTCACACACATTGATACGTTTTAAAGTCACTTATCAATGAAAATTAATTTGATAACAATACCACAAAAAAACAGAGATAGTGAGAGAGAGCGAGAGAGGTTACAGATAGCGGTTCAAGTAATGATAATATGTATGGGTTTACGACTCCCTGAGAGCTCCAAAAATGCATTTAGATTAAAATGCGACATTGAGCGCTGTCAATAGACGTCACGTACACACACACACACACACACACACGTGCTCACATTACACTCATTCAATATCTATGTCTTATAGAGTTTGCATTTGAATTTCTATAGCTAAAAAATTTATTGTTGTGTTCGTCACCACCTGTAGCACTACAGATCTCTATCTCTCTCAGGTTCTCTCTCTCTCTCACTCTATCTCTATTATTTTGCACTTTAGCAAAAACACAGCTCTCACTATATACATATATCTATATTTTATCGCGTATTTTTAGGCTACGCATTAGCACCTTCTGATACTCGATTTTATCTTTATTTTTTGTATGTTTTAAATTTTTCATATTTTTTTAAGTTATTTGCTTACGTTTTGAGTTGAACTTTTGTATATTTACACTTTAAACATCAAGAAACACATTTATTTATCACTCTGTCAGCATGTTAAAACAGCTCTATTTGTTTTAGTTTCCTTTTTGTGAGTGTTTCAAGCTCATTTAATTGCGCTTTGCACTCTTTGAACGGAGTTTGAAAAACCCGCGGCTCGGGCGCACTTCTCTGTTAAAGCGTTCGTAACGTCCGCACGGCGCGACTCGCTGAACTGAACTAAATGTTAAGCGCTGGCTTTGGTCGTGAGCGTTGTCATTTTTCCAGAGCACAGATAGCTAGATTTAGCTAGAAAGGCAACCAAAAGTAGCTGAATCGTGATGTTGACATTATCGCTTATATAAATATGTATTCATACTTTTGTTTATTTTTTGCTCGATTTTATTGATTTTATAATTTCTATTAAATAATTTAACAATTTAAATAATAATTTGACTTGACGACACTCAAATTTCATACAAAGAATTCCCACCTCTCGTTGTTTTCAATTTCTAGCCGGAATCGGACTTTAAAGAAAGCCAGATCTGACGAAAATAAAGCTAAAATGGTATCAGCGCTAGTCATGTAAAATATTGAGCGAGAGACTGCGGCAAGATTGCGTACGGTGCTGCCAGATCGTTGAATTAATTCATTTGTACTAAATGCTGCAGTGCACACAGTTCTATAGCAAATAGCTTTGCAGCGTGCTGTTGAATACGTTATTATTTTGAAAACTGTGCTAAATAGGTTAAGGGCTATCATATATACTTTTAAATTTCTTTGATTTTAGATATATACACTGACTGGGTGTATTGGATAATAATACATTTTTTGACAAAGGTCTAAAGTTCTCAAAATAAACAATACTTGCATTGACAACGGATCAAACCGTATACAATTCTCAATTTTGACAATAGAACAGTGAACAATTTTCCGATTGTGAGTCTTGCCAGTAAAAATTAAAAAAAATATTTAAAATAAATATTTTTGTTATGTATATTTTGTAAGTAAAGTAGATTCTGAAATTAAATTAAAAAAAGCTCTGCTAGTTGCTAGCTATGATTTAAACTGAAATCCCAATTTAGGTCTATCTTCTTTCGAAGATAACAACAATATAAATTGTATTTACGCATCAGTTGAAAATGCTCTCTCTATGCTGTATGTAATCTGCCTGTTTATAAATTGTGTTGTATTTCTCGTTTCAATGGGTTTGGCTTAGTAGTGAGGTAATCGCCCAGATCTACATGCATGTCAAATTCCGCTAGGTTACTGTACACAAAATCCAACAATTAAATATGCCAGTTAAATTATAGATATATATATTTCTATACATATATATATAGAGCGAGTTAATGGACCGACTGGGTTTTTAGTGATCAGAGCTGCAATTGAGCTGAACGATCAGCGATCACCGCAGCCAGGAACCACTTAATGTGGATTTAATTGCAACTGGAGGCCTCATATATATAGGGCCAAAATAAGACCCAATCTGGAAGTCTGTAACGAAAATGTCGAATATTGGGATCTTACTGCTGTTCATCTGTGTGGCCTTTGAGTCAGCTTTCGCCTGTGTAAGTTGCATATAAAGTAAAAAGTGATATACTATATAGATCGTATATATGTATATACATATATACATGTATATATAAATATTTCTATAGAATGGATACAAGGCAAGGATTGTGAAGATGGAAAACTGCGCGGGTGAAGACGCCATCATAAAAGTGGATGAAAATTTCGGCGTTAAGCTGAATAAGAAGTGCGAATTGATTCCGACGGGCTGCGTGATTAACAAGGCATTCAACACCGCTGTGGTCAAGTATAAGGTGCAGAAGGATGGCATTATGATAAAGGAGGGCAAAATGGATATGTGTGCAGCCGCTGATCAGGCGTCTTCTGATGCAAAGGATATGCTCAAGGTATTCGGTGCTCCATCCAGTTGCCCCGTGGTCGAGGAGAAGATCTGCGCCAACGATCATACCGTCGATCTTACCAAGTACAAAGCCATGCTGGGCATGGCTCGTGGTCATCTCATAATCGATTCCGAGATTAAGCACGATACTGTAAGTCAAGGAACTACCCATTTAATATATGTGCTTATAGCTAACATCCATATCTCTTTCTCTCTCTCCAGGGCAAGTCCTGTTTCCATGCTGAAGTCGAAATTGTGAAGAAGTAGAAGCCGAGTCTGCTGAGATCCCAATTTATCCGACATTATATTATGAGTCTTGCAAACTAGCTGTATCTTTCGTTGTAATAAATAAAACATATTGGTAATGGAATGCACAAAAACAAAATCCGAGTATTACTTACCTTTCGGTAAGTTCTGCAACTCTTATAAGCTATTGGAAGCTGTTGAACTCTTTTGTAGAGTCTTTTATTAATGGAAACTATCCTTCAGTATATGCATATATAGAACGGGCTTTTTTTTTTGTATGCCGTTTTTTTATAATAAATTGTCAGGTTAATATTGATCAGTTATTATCGTATTTCGAAATAAAAACACTAGAACATAGCATTGGCTAGTTAGTAATACCAGATAAATGTATATATTTGAACATTTTACAACACTTTTTGCTTACATTACATAAAGAATTAAAAAAATATCAAATCTTAATGGTTAGTTTTCCAATTTTCTATTCACAGAGAGCTGAGTTTGCTAATTTGCAACTGAAAGTGAGGAAGATTTTCATCACTTTTGTTTTCCATTAAATAGAGTAGGGGAAGAGAAGATAAAGGAAGGGGAGGAGGGTCAAGGTTGAGACCATCTTGAGCAGAGCGAGGTGCGAGTCGAGGTTTAGTTCAGCAGATGCCCGAAAAGCCAAAGTCATAATCATCTTCCCTCTCTTTCAAGCGACCCAGGTAGGGTGAGTGCTTGATGCCAAAGCTGTAGGAGGGCGTGTGAGAGAGGTTAACCTGAATGATGGAAGGAGGAAAGTATTTAAAGTCAGGCAGAATTAGGATTCAGTGTTAGTTTAGGCTATTTAATTTTGCTATTCGTATTCGATCTGATCTCTAGGCTAGGCGTAATTCCTATCGGGTCGATTCGCTAACAGACAGTTCATAAAACGATCTGGCAATAGACATTGGGTCGGTCGTCCGCAGAACCTCGAATGCACAATGCCAAAGGATATTGAAGGCGTCGAACGTTTCTCCCAATACTAAGGGCCAGGTCATATCGATATATATAGATATATGTGCATATATATATGTATATAACTGTTGAGATCCGCTCCTCAGATCTGGCTTACCTTTTCGGGGCAATGTGCACCTGGACCGGGCTTGTTGTTGTCGGTGATGACGTTGAATTTGCCACGCATCGAATAGACGGGTGGCTTGGACTTGGTGACCGTGTATTCGCCATCATAGTACCCTGGACCGGGCAACACCAGCTTGGGTATCAATGATGGGCGCATGCGTCCGGCCATCGTATATGCTGGGGCTGAACGTATCTGACCCTCCTTGCTGCTGCCCAAGACAGTGGGTATCTTGTAGACATTAGGAGCTGTCGAAGAATGCAGATTCAGTAAATAATTGTTATTAAATAGGGTGTACTGCGGATTGGCTGATTGTCTTCTGATGGTTATTCAGCTGGTGTTTGAATGGCTTGGTTAGAGAGATGAGCTTGGTTGGTCATTGATGGCGCTGTAAGAGATATAACAAATACGCACAGGAAAGGGAAACAGAAAACAACAAAATGTCCTTGATGTCTCTAGGACTGGGTTACCTGATGATCGTGTGTTGTACGCTGCCCGCCCTCACAGCGTACTTGATGGTATTCGATTTCGTGAACTGGCCACTGGTCACGATCGCACCGTCCGATTGCACCACCGTCCGTGTGCTTGCCTCTGCACCCTGCGTGGTGCTGGCGTCTGCCGTACCACTGGCAATGACCTGCAGATTGTCGCCTTTGGCATGTGCCTGAACCGAGCGGTGCATTGTGATGGTGCGACTCAATTTCGACCTATCGCCGCCCACGAGCTTTGTTTTGGTTGTTGTTGTGGTTGTTGCTGAATTGATTTTGTCGGTGTTGGTTGGCAGCTGGTGATGCTGGGTGGGTGCAGCGGTGGTGCTGGTGGTTGTCAACTGACCGTTTACATTGTCCAATCGATCGTCATTTACTGACCGCTTCTCAGTGGCTACTGTTGTGGTTGTGGTGGTGGAAGTGCTTGCGGTTGCGTTGCGAACTGTGGTGCAGATTAGAATTAGTTGATTTGTGCCGCCGGTAGCTATGCATCAGATTGTGTATATGTATATATATATATATATCTGTGTCTATGTGTATATGTACATATTATGTACATATGTATACATATATCACAGCAAATGTATGTATTTGCCCCTGCGATTAAATGCTAATTAAACACTTCAAGTACTTGAACATTACAGTTAACGGTAAACAGAATTTGGTGACCTTTTAAGAATATATATATTTATATACCCTGAACCTATTGAAAATGGGAAATCAGCGTACAATGGTTTTGTGGAAAAGTATGTAACGGGCAGAAATCATCGCCGACCCCATAAAGTATATCTTGATCAGTACGACGATCTGAATCGATATAGCCCTGTATGCCTGTCCGTCCGTCCGTCCATATGAGTGCGTCGATCTCAGAAGTTACAAGAACTAGAGAGCTGAAATGGGGCATGCATACTCGTGTATACCATAGGCATAATCTTTTTTCGATAACTTACTTATCGAGAATAATCGAAAAATCGACATTGTTTTTTCAGCCTAATTTGAACACTTTTAGACCCAAAGACTTCATTTACTGTGTATATACAGTTGATCGATACGAAGATTTTGTAATATACAGATTTTGGATACCACGCCCCCTTCGCCCGCAATTTGTAAAAAACACATTTCAAGTACTAGAGACTTGTTCTTTATAATGTACACACATTCTAACCACATGACTACGCTCTGAAAGTTTCAATAAGATTGTAGATTGCAGAGCAGCCCAAGCGCAGTCGCTGCTAACTGCGCAGTCAGCAGAGCGCGTTGATAATACGTGCGTGTGTATGCATGAGTGCATAAAAGAACTGCAGAATCAATAAAATATCAGTTTATAGGGTTCAGGGTATCTCCCAGTCGTGCAGTCTCCACTGGAGCCTGTTATTAATACAGTACGAGCTTCCACTTTTGCACTTTGTTAGGAAATATATTTTAAAAAAAAATAAAAGACTCAATATGGATAATAGCATATAAGCACATGTATGTATATTAATCTGATTATGCGAATTCTCAGCATTTCGATACACACTTTTTATTTTTATTTGTATTTTTATTTTGTAGAATTAGCCGATGAGTTGTCAGTTCCATTGGCAGCCATGGTGGTGGCCGTGCTCTTACCTGTAGTAGGTAAAAGACGACCGGCAGCTGCTTCGGTACTTGGCTATCCGGCGCCATTACTAACACCCTCACCTGGTGTGGTGCTATTACTAGCAGTTCCATTATTGTTAGGATTTTTATTTCGGTTACGAATTATCATATGATAAGCGCATTCACGGTTACAACTCTTCAATGTCTTCCATTCGTTATATTTGTTATAAACGCTGCACTTGGTAAAAACCGGAATACAGTTCATGATGATGCGATGGAACGCATAGAACTTGCGACGTGGACCCCTGCAATAGCGTTCGTGTTTGTATTTGTTTTTCACCAAACATGCGAAATTGGGTTTATCTAGACAACAAAATAATCGGTAACCGGCTTCTAGCTACAAATGAGTATAGGTTGACTTACAGCGTGAATTGTCAATGAAATCGAATAAGGATACGATCCATAAGATCAAACAGCAAAATGTTAACCATCTCATTTTACACTCATCTGTCAACTAAATCCCTAGAGAACTGCGTAGCGAAGCATTGCAATCTTAACGGATAAGAGTTACGAATTGTATTTTAAACTGTCTCAAATTGCAATTACTCGTTTTAATGTCAAGTACTTAAAGTGTCGAAGTGTTTTGATGATACGCTTACCGGGACTAGCCAAACGCCTTTCACGTCTTTGCAATATGCGATCTTCAATATAAGCGCCTCTAGGTTCTAGTGAGTGCAGAGTTTCATGAATATATACATATATATATATATATTTATTATATATATATATATATAGATATATTGGTATATACATATGGAACATATACATTTATGTGAGGGCCAGCGAACCACATGTGATGGAAAATAAAGTACAGAAATATGATACATAGAAATAAACATTTAAAATAATACAACAAAAAGTATAAAACTCTAGCTTCGGTTGACCGAAGATAAAGCTACCCAAGCAGATATATTTATAAAATTATTGAAATTGATCGATTGATAAAGTATATATTGTATTTCATGGATATATTCTGCAAGGGGTTAAACACATGCCAAGCCAAAAATTGTTCTTAAGCCAGCACCGAATCGAAGCTAAGTGAAATACAAATAACTGCACCTACCTGGAATTGGCGGCATGGGTAAGGTCTTAAGACCAAAGCTGTATGCCGGCGAGCTGTCTAGCTTACATTGCTCTGGATGATAGTGACCGGGAGCTATAGAGCAGGCGTAACAAGATGCCAGACACAAAACATTTATAGATAAACATAACATATAGAGTAAGCGACATGCTAGTAGGGGACTTAAGCCTAGAATCGAAAGTAGTTCTATCAAATTGTTCTTTACCGGGTGCATCGGTGGAGACCTTGATCTCAGGTCGAGTGCCGAATGTGTATGCTGGAGAGTGTTGAGTGTTGTTGTGCTTTTCCGGTTCGTATGCAGTGGGTGCTGAAATTTATCAAGTGATCGATTGATTTGGTATACATATATGCTTTTCTAATTATTCTATTGGTTCACATATGACAAATAATTAGCTATTCATTTACCTGGTGTATCACTGACATGTTCCCGTTTCAGCTTCATGCCAAAGGTGAAGGCTGGTGTAGTATCGAGCTGGTAGTTCTCTGGCTTGTAGTCGCAGGGCGCTGGAGTCTGGCTAATATGCTCAATGGTCGTACGACCTGTAATTGTGTAGGCGGGTGTGTGGTCAAGCCGAACTTTTTCAGGAGAATAATCGCATGGCGCTGGATGATGATTTTCCACCTTGGGGTCATATTTGCCACCAAATGTGTAAGCGGGTGTGTGATCCAGTCGAGTCTTCTCCGGCGAATAGTCTCCAGGTGCCGGCGTACCATTTAAGATCTTCACTTCATGCTTGCCAGCTATGGAAAAGGCAGGACTGTGATCCTGACGGACTTTTTCGGGAGAGTACGCTCCAGGAGCAGGAGTATCACTTTGCTTGTGAAGATCATGGCGGCCAGCGAAAGAAAAGGCGGGATTATGGTCTAGTCTGACTTTTTCAGGGTGGTAATCACCAGGGGCGGGGGTGTGGTTCTCGACCTTGGGATCATTCTTGCCACCAAAGGTATAAGCGGGTGTGTGATCCAATCGGGTTTTTTCTGGTGAGTAATCACCGGGCGCCGGTGTATCATTTGAGATCTTCACTTCATGCTTTCCAGCTATGGAAAAGGCAGGATTGTGGTCTAGCCGAACTTTCTCTGGGGAATAGGCTCCAGGAGCAGGAGTATCGCTTGGTTTGTGAAGATCATGGCGGCCAGCGAAAGAAAAGGCGGGATTATGGTCTAGTCTGACTTTTTCAGGGTGGTAATCACCAGGGGCGGGGGTGTGGTTCTCGACCTTGGGATCATTCTTGCCACCAAAGGTATAAGCGGGTGTGTGATCCAATCGGGTTTTCTCTGGTGAGTAATCACCGGGCGCCGGTGTATCATTTGAGATCTTCACTTCATGCTTTCCAGCTATGGAGAAGGCAGGATTGTGATCCTGACGGACTTTTTCGGGAGAGTACGCTCCAGGAGCAGGAGTATCACTTTGCTTGTGAAGATCATGGCGGCCAGCGAAAGAAAAGGCGGGATTATGGTCTAGTCTGACTTTTTCAGGGTGGTAATCACCAGGGGCGGGGGTGTGGTTCTCGACCTTGGGATCATTCTTGCCACCAAAGGTATAAGCGGGTGTGTGATCCAATCGGGTTTTTTCTGGTGAGTAATCACCGGGCGCCGGTGTATCATTTGAGATCTTCACTTCATGCTTTCCAGCTATGGAAAAGGCAGGATTGTGGTCTAGCCGAACTTTCTCTGGGGAATAGGCTCCAGGAGCAGGAGTATCGCTTGGTTTGTGAAGATCATGGCGGCCAGCGAAAGAAAAGGCGGGATTATGGTCTAGTCTGACTTTTTCAGGGTGGTAATCACCAGGGGCGGGGGTGTGGTTCTCGACCTTGGGATCATTCTTGCCACCAAAGGTATAAGCGGGTGTGTGATCCAATCGGGTTTTCTCTGGTGAGTAATCACCGGGCGCCGGTGTATCATTTGTGACCTTCACTTCATGCTTTCCAGCTATGGAGAAGGCAGGATTGTGATCCTGACGGACTTTTTCGGGAGAGTACGCTCCAGGAGCAGGAGTATCGCTTGGTTTGTGAAGATCATGGCGGCCAGCGAAAGAATAGGCGGGATTATGGTCTAGTCTGACTTTTTCGGGGTGGTAATCACCAGGGGCGGGGGTGTGGTTCTCGACCTTGGGATCATTCTTGCCACCAAAGGTATAAGCGGGTGTGTGATCCAATCGGGTTTTCTCTGGTGAGTAATCACCGGGTGCCGGTGTATCATTTGAGATCTTCACTTCATGCTTTCCAGCTATGGAGAAGGCAGGATTGTGATCCTGACGGACTTTTTCGGGAGAGTACGCTCCAGGAGCAGGAGTATCACTTTGCCTGTGAAGATCATGACGGCCGGCAAAGGAGAAAGCGGGACTGTGGTCTAGTCGAACCTTTTCTGTCTCATAGGCGCAAGGTGCTGGTGTTTCGCTAGTCTTCGGTGTTTCGTGCCGTCCGGCAAATGAATAAGCAGGATTATGATCGTGCCGTACTTTTTCAGGACTGTAGTCGCCTGGTGCTGGTGTTGTGTTTTCAATGTGATGCTCATGCTTACCAGCGAAACTAAACGCTGGCGTGTGGTCGCTGCGATATTTTTCTGGGGCATACGAGCCTGGCGCTGGGGTAGTGCTAACGGATTTCAATTCATGTCGTCCAGAGAGTGTGTAGGCTGGCGCATTGTCCAAGCGCACTTTCTCCGGCTGATAGGTGCCGGGTGCAGGTGTATCTTGTGACTTGCTGACCTGGACACGTTGACCAAAGCTAAAGGCAGGAGTTTTACCTAGGACGCATTTTTCTGGCTCGTATGCGCCGGGTGCTGAAATACAGATGGTTGTATTCAATCAGTTATTGATAAATGTATGAACAAAATGCTGCAAGTGAATGGATCAAAGCGACTTACCAGGCGTAGCATCCACAACATCGTGATTAGATTTACCGGCAATACTAAAAGCGGGTGCTGAATGCAATTTTGACTTTTCTGGACTGTACGTACCAGGTGCTAGCAAAATAATATATATTATTTAATTTCGATCCGATCAAGACTGTATACATAGCTCAAATGTGAATAGCCCACCTGGAGAATCGTTGTGCTGAATGTGCTTCGTCTTCAGACCAAAACTATAGGCGGGTGTATGATCTAGAACTGTTTGCTCGGGTTTGTAAGTACCGGGTGCTGCAAATTGTATTAGGTGAAATCGATAAGCAAACGAAACTAAATGAACGAATTATATTCATTGTACTAGATGACCAAGTCTGAGTTGATACATTGTTTGGATAGTTTCTCAATCTGCATTTGAAAAATGAATAATTAAATGAATAGCTTCTTGCTTGTTTCCTTAACTGATAAGACGTAGTTGAATACTAATTCAAGTGCAAAGCTAAGTGTACATTGCGAAAGCAAGTTCATATACTCCTCTTCTTTGTTTTTTTTTATACTCATTCACGAAAGTGAATTAGTATATTGGTTTTGTGCAATGTCCGTCTTGCTGTCCGTCCGTCTGTCCGTCTGTCCATATGAACGCAATCTATTTCGGCACTATTGAAGCTAGAGACTTGAAATTTGGAACACATACTCGTGTATATCTCCGAATTATAAAGTGTTAAAATTTTCCCGATCTGCCCACTAGGGGCGTGGCAAATCGGAAAATGCATTTCATATTAATTGAAGATATCTCTTCTGAAATTTGGAATATAGCTCCGCATCGACCACCCAAGATCATGAGCTATGGCGGATATAAAGTATAATAGCTAGAAGCTTCAAATTTAGATAGTTAAAATACCAGTAAACTCCTCTATCGATGACCCAAAAATAATGTTTACGCCTTTTTAGGGGCGTGGCATATCGAAAAATACCCTGTAATTTTCACATTTTTTGAGGGTAAGCATTCAAACATTGCAGTTAGGGTACCGTTATCTCATTCTAAGAACTGACCAAAAATGAGGTGTCTGCGCTTAGTAGGGGCGTAGCAAATCGGGAAGAACTGCATTTTCTACAGTATTAGAGCGAAACATAACTACTAAATTGTTGATGAGTATTCCGCAGTCGGTAACGGCCGACTGCAACGTTCTTACTTGTTTAATATGTTGTTAATTATCTACAAACCTGGCGTGTAGTCAGGTCGCAGCTCGTGATGTTTGATGCCAAAACTGAACTCTGGTGTCTTGCTGAGTTTCACCTTCTCGGGAGAATAGGCGCCAGGAGCTGTGGAATAGACATATAGATATTACAAACCAAGGCGTTGTACGTAATGCTGTGGCAAGTTCTAAAGCGAAATTTCTAACTAGAGTACTACGAGTGCCTCATTTTGCTGGACTGGGCTGGATTGGGGTTGGGGTTAGGGCAACAACAACATATTACCTGGTGTATGCTGATCGTGTTGGATTTTAGTTCGTCTACCAAATGTGAAACGTGGCGAATTCTTTCTTGATTGCGTGACCTTTTCAGGACAATAGCTATTTGGCGCTGTTAGTGTTAATAAAACAAAATAATTTTGGTACGGATAACGATATTTTATTTGTTTAGGCTATGCAACGAAATGCAACTAGTGACGGGTTATACTGCAAAAAACGGAACTAAATGAGGTTAGGAGTTACATATTACGAGCTACGAGTGTTGCAAAGTGCCTAACAGACTAGAAGGAATCTATCCCACACCAAGAAGTAGTGACAGAGAGGTAAAAGTATAGAGAGTACACAGAAAGATAAAGAGAGAGAGAGAGATTGAGCACATGCAAGAGAGATTTGTGTTATTGCAACTGGGTTAACACCTCAATGTTAGCCAGTTAGTTGTGTTACCTGGATTGTTAACTAGGTAAACGTTAACCTTAATGCGAAAGGAATATCGAGGCGCACGCGGCTTAATGACATCAAGCGGCACCACTTGATAATGGTTGGGACCTAAAATTACCGTTGGTTTTGACAGTCGGTGGTTGGGTCAAATTAATCAAAGAAGAAAAATGTTTCCATTAAAATTAAGATCAAATTAAGAAAAAAAAAATAGAAATAGAATAAACAAAAATCAAACATAGAACACAAAATACAACAGATACTACGGAAAACTATGTGGCTATAAAAAAAAGAGACGCATAAACAATAAAGTAGCGAAAGGCAGAGACAGTGCCTCGAGTGATTAAAAGGTACGTACCTATTACTAACTAAAATCCCCAAAAATATATTTAATGAACAAAAATATGTTGATGCTATGTATAAACATAACTATTAAAACATATGTACACATATATTATTCACCTAAAGAGCAAATTTTAAAAGAGCAAAATGTACCGATAAGCAATACTTTTTTTTACGATTTAAAATAAATTAAAGTACAGGTTGGATTGGATTTGTTAATCTTTATACACACTATAAATACAAAAAAAAAATATAATAAAATAAAATAACTGTACATATTTTCTGGAAAGTGTTTGACTATCAAAGTTAGGTAAATTAGATCAATCTGGTACATCCATACCACAAGTTATGTTTTTATACCATTTACAAAGAGAAAAAATCTATAAAGACATAACTTAAAATTTTAAATAATAATTTAATTATTTGATTTATAATTTAAGTTTTTCTCTAAAACAAAAACCATCAACAAAATAGATAATCTTAGGTTTTGATATACATGTGACGATCGCTTAATGAACAATGCTACTAAAGAGAGAGAGAGAGAGAATGAGACTACTTAAAAGAGAGCAAGAAGAATATGCTAATATGAAGCAGGCAACTATAGCTACGTGACTACAGAGTAACACACATACGGCGAGAGGCAATACAGGAAAAGAGAGAGAGAGAGAGAGAGAGAGAGAGAAAGAGTGTAAGTGGGAGAGAGAGAGAGAGATTGCTCTCAAATGCAGCGATTACTTACGCGCTGCTGAGATGATTCTTTCAATGGAATTATTATTATTATTATTGGATATGATTTCTTATATATGTACAACATGGATTGGATGCGTCTGCCTCCAGATGTTACTTGATGCTTGATGCTTGATGATGCCTCTGCAACTCCATTTAGTCCATTAGCGTTAATGATGCGCATGCAAGCAAACCATTGACCAAAAACCATTCAAACAACCAACAAGAACACCAAAGCACAAAACAACCAACAAACTCTTGAACACTGTTCTTGACTGGGGGACTGCGGGACCCGGAACCTGGGACCGTTGCGACTTACCCGGTATCAGCTGGTACTTGGCATGGGGCGGCCTCTTGCCGAATGTGTATTTGGGCGTGGCATCGATGACGGCCTTCGATGCATTCATCACGTCATATTCGCCCGGGCCCGGATTAACAAAACGCGTCAGCTCCTTGGGACGACTTTGAAGTGTGGCTGCATGAGGGCACTCCTTGCCTCTGGGCACCATGCCCGACACATTGTACTGGGCGGGGCCGGGACCCGTCGTTTCATCCTTGGTGGCCGCCTTATGGCCAAAGGAATATGCCGGTGCGCCCTTCTTTTTGGAGTCCGGCACTTTGCTGCCTACATGACCAGAGAGAAAGAGAGAGAGAGAGGGAGAGGGAGGTGCATCAGTCACTAGTGATCAGGTTTAGCCTCTAGCAACAACTCACCAATCAGCGTGGGTAGCTGCACAATAGCCGGTCCCGGATTGCTCGTCTCCGCCGCAATTCGACGCGTACGCACGGTGGGCGTCCAGGGTCGCTGCTCGATATTGCCAGCCATGGTGAGCGTACGTATTATCCGCAGCGGTGCACAAGGACCCGTAATCTTCGGCTTCTTATATCTGTACTTGCTACGAAAGCCAACCTGCAACAAGAATTGCAAATATGCTGATTACTCCAATTACTTTCAATTGCATTCTGTTCCGCACAGTTTTATTCATGTTGTTGCAGTTCTTGGCGCACAATCAGGTGTCTCTGTAGACGATTCAGTTTAAAATTTTTTGCCTTTTTTGGCTTAGCAATTGAAAAATTTAACGAAAAATATAAACACAAACTTGAGTTTTAGTGTTGTTTTGCTTTGAAGTAAACACAAAAGAAAAAAGAACGAAACTCTAGTAACCTCATAAACCAAATGCTTAAATTAACATCAAATCGATGACGTAAAATCCATATCGTCCATAAACTCAAGACAAACCGGCGTGCAATAATTGAATGTGCTCGACTAATAAATACCCTGACTTGAATGTGTGGAGGAGGACAGGAAACACAGTTGGCGTTCATTTTTCAAGCAATCAGATTTTTTTAAGTGAAACACGAAAGTCTTGGTTCTTTAAGTTATCTGTAAGCAACATCTTCAGCAATATGTAGAGCAAGGCCCAATTCAATGAGAATTTCGTACCTGTTCATTTGTTTCGTTCTATCCAATTATTTTGCCTAAGTACAGGGTACAAGGCAAGGGATCCCAAAACTTTGCAACATGAGCGATTTATTTGTTTCGAATTTTCTGGGCCAGCAGAGGGCTAAGCAGAATTTCGGCTTGGGGTTGCCTGTGGATTTGCTTGCTCACGCCAAGACAAACAATCAAAGACAACGAAATGGACAAAAAGTCTGGTTTTGCGGTAGGCTCTTCAACCCGTGTGACCTTCTTTCGGCAAGTGTTGGCTGCAGGCAGACGCGAAAGCCAATACCTGATGTCTGATTGCTTTGCGCCGTGTCAGCGCTGCGCAGCTGAACTCTGAGCTCTGGTGACAGGCGGCGACGTCGCAGTGTAATCGATACTAGGCGATGACGACCTGAATTGGCTTTACTAGCGATTAGCTAACGCAATTGAACGTCAGCAGAAACAGAAACAGAAACAGCAACAGAGGCCGCCACGCCTCCCACTCCTAGTACCTCAGTCGGTCGCCTGGTCAACACCGTCACAGGCAACAAGGTTGCGCCTCCAAAAAGTATGCAAAGTGCTAATGTTGCCCATTTGGCCCATGTGGGGCCAACAAAACGATTACTTTTAATGACTTATGGAGCGACAATTGCATGCCACGAAAACGGTTACTGCACATTCGAGTGGAGCGCGTGATGTGGCTAATTGAAAATATTGAAGGTTCGTGTCGAAGAGCGGTACGAGTAAGGTAGCTAGGCAGCAGGAGCAGTTGGAATTCCATTAGAAAGCAAATCTTAAGCCTTAGATGTCAGTCGGCACGACTTAACACGAGATGGTACGAGAAAACACGATATTATTATTACTGACCACTACTTTACACGATAAAGTGGTGGTAGCTAATCGACATTTGACTCAGAGTAGACAAGAGCTAACAAGAGAAAACACGATGTGCGTAGGCACGAGGGCCCAACTTTACTCGATAAGATAAGAGTAGACACGCGTGAGTACAAGAAAACACGAATTATTAAAAGTGGATACGACTCTCCGTGAGCAGATGGGAGTAGACACGAAAAGTCACGATCTATAATAATATTATTACACTGCGCACGACTTTAAATGACAAAGTATTAGTAGGCACGAGTGTGCACGAATATTATTTCCCATTGGAATTACTTTTAAAGAGCAGGAAAACGTCTCGCCTTAATGCATCAATATTACGCTCATGATCGTCTGCTCACGCGCTCATCTCTAGGCGCAGCTACGGTAACTAATACCAAGACTCAGACCAAGTCTAAGTAGCTGTAGCTGTAGCTGTGGCTGTGGCAGTGGCAGCCAAAGCGTGCAACTTCTTTGACCGTGAAATCAACAGCTAGTTGGGCCAATTTCTGGGTGGGCGTGGCACTAAAGTAACTGCCAGTCAGCAATGAATGACAGAGGGAGATGGAGTGGGGGCGAGGATTGGCTGGCTTTTATATAAAGCAAAGCTGTTCAAATTGAGGCTAAAAAGTGGGCGTGTTTGCGCCTCGCGACCTCGCACGCAATTGAAACATGTTCATTTTCGGTTGGCTTTTGCTTTATTATATGTGTAAATATATACGTACACTATATATATATGTATGGCATGGCCATATGCGCCACTTTAGAACCAAGAGAATCTTACATCATCGACGAGTCTGCACCCACGCGCGGATGCAACACCATAGCTGCCTACACCATATATGGCATGGCCTATGCTCGACTGTTCGCTCGGCTGATGAATCAGCTTCTGTGTCTGACTGCCGGCAGACATTTGCGTGGCAATGTCTCAATGTTGCCTGCCAACAACTTATTAATCTTAATTTGTTTGTGGCCCAAAATCGCAAGCCAACTTAGTCGCATTTAATCAAATTAATCAACTGCACATGCAATGCTTGGCCAACTAGCTGGAATACACTGTGAAAAATTAGTTTTAGAAAGACTTGAAAAAACTTTGTTAGAATTCATTTGAATAGCTATAATTCACAATGATTTTTAAACATTTATACAATGAACACTTAATAGTGAATTCAATTTGAGTTGGCATAGCTGCGTGGTAAGACATTCGCAAGGTAAACGAGCGGTCTCAGGTTCAAATCATATATATTAACATTTTTTTTTTCAATAAAAAATATGTAAACTGTCTAATTAAATTTGATTTTAAATTAATATTATTTTATTTTATTTTATTTAGAATTTTGTTTATCTATAATCATTGTTTTATTCCAATCTTATATCTCACATATCGATTTTGCCTGCTTCAGATACGAATTTCTCGCAGTGTAGCACGTGCATTTGATGCCAAGATTGGTCACCTGCCACTAGGTGCTCGACAACAAATTCTAGATGGTGCTGCTGATAGTGTATCAGCAGCCAGAGAGGTGGTCAGGTCAGCAACCGGTTCGCTTGCCAATTGAGCGCATTGAAATTGATTGGAATTGAGTGCACGCCCACATTCACCGATCCCCCCCATCCCCCCTTCTACCTCTTGCCGTTCCTCCTCCGGAGCAGAAACCTGTCAGGCGGCTATTTTCGTTTCATGACACTATGCTAATGTTACGAAGATCTTGATAGATGATGCCAACTTTGAACTCGCACTTTTTTGCGCACTCACACACACACGCACACACACTTTGCATGAGTGCCAATAATAACAGCTAAGTAATATAATAGCCAAACAAAACCTGGCACACGTCAGCATCAATTTATGATATCAACTAACCAGAGAATAAAGCACAAAAATTTTACTTTGGCTTGCCGAAAACTTAATACCCTATATATGAGCCATAACGGTATTTATATTTTAAATTTGAAAATATATTATAAACACGACCAACTTTGGCTATAGGAATTCACAGCTTATTCTTATAGCTGCTCATTTCATTATAGATCTCCTTCAGATCCAGTTGATCTACTGAGCAAAATTCAATCTTGACTTGACATGAGCTCAGCTAATCCACAGAGAACTTGCTCACCTTCTGACTATATTAAAAGCTCAACAGCTGCTGAATGGAGAGCAATGAGAGTTGCTCTGAGGGCTAGATGAAAGCTGATATAGGTACGAGCCATTGTTCAGCGAGATTTGAGAGCTCAGAGAGGAAACGGATTTTGTTCCAGATAGAAATATATGATTTTCAAAACAGCTGTATCAACCTCATTTCATACAATTTCTATGTGCATATATTTTGGCAAATATTCAAAAATTCTCGAGCTCAATGGTTAAGCCAAGCATCTAGCGGAAATTGCAAAAAAAAAAAAAGATATAAAAACATTGTTGCCTCCGGGAAAGTAAAAAAAAAAAAAACAGTTCTTCTTCTTATATAGAAACTCTCAATTAACAGCATACCCTCACTCATCTGATCACACGTTGGGTATACACAATCATTAATTTCAGTTGAAAGCTGACAAGCAATTAAATGCCGTAGACATATTTCAATGCAGATTTTCGTTTTGATTAATTTTTCTATTGTTAGCCACTTAAAGGCAAAAACTCGACTATGACATGACCCGAAATAGACTCTGTCAGCATTGATTTTATAATAAATAATAACTTTTTGTTGCTCTTATTCACAATGGGCACGTTTCACGCTCTCCAAATTGCCAAAATAAAAATGGCATAAAATAAAATGATATAAAATGAGCTCATTTTCCAGCGTTTAGAGACAACTTTTACGCCCAAATATGAGCAGATATATGTCTGATGACTAGTCTGACTTGGCCATTTCCTTTAGCCCACATTGAGTTGCCCAAAAAGCTGCTCGAGCGCCAAATGGGTCGCCAGACGGCGCCCACACACGTAACTGCGTTTTGTCTCTCAATCGAAATTATCTTTAGTTTTTGGTTACAAATGTTACGATGCCTCTATCTCGCTCTCTACCTGTCTCTTTTGGTATTTGGCCAGTTAGTGGTACAACAACAGCTATCGCAACAATCAACATGTTTAATTAACAGCAAAACACGCCGCAAGCCGAAGCCGAAGCCAAAAAAAGACAACACCGGCAACAAATAGAAATATCAACAAGAAAAGCAATTAGCTGCAGCAAGCCAACCATTATATACCCTGTAATTAAAGCTATAGTTGGACAGATTATTGAAGACGAAGAGCGCTTCTATAATTAAAATTTATCATTTGTAGTAATTTAAATAAATATGTTTATATAAACTTTAATAGTGATCATATTACTAAAAACTCAGCTCCTAGGCGCAGCCTCTATTATCGCTTTGGACAATTGTTTAACAAGCCAATTATTATTATTATTAGTATTTTCACTACTGTAAAAACCTTCAATTGTAACGGGTTTCATATACTATGGGAGTTATGGAAATTATTTCATATACCTATATCCCTATATAGCCGATATGATCTATTTCGAAGTATGTACCTTCTGATATGAAAGCAACATCTGCACCAAGTTGCTCTAAAATGACTTTACAGAGAACCGAGTTTCGATAGGTATATGATATATTTTACTTAAGTGATACGATCAATTTTATTATATGTGTAGTCTGTTATCAAAAGCAACATCTGCACCAAGTTTAAGAAAGATAGCTTTACTAGGATCTCAGTTCCGATAGGTAAAATTCTAGTATACATATGTGTTAGTTATACGATTAAATCAGTTCTGCTAGCAAAACCAACACCTGTCCAAAGTTTCACAAGGATAGCTGCTCAGCTCAGATAGGTCTAAGATCGGAGCGTTACATATTTAGTCCAAAAAGCGGTACTGCCCATCTGCTCATTACAACAACGATCATAACAAGTTGGTTGCCAAAAGAGTTTAGACCAAATGAAGACAAAAAGCGCAAAGTGATAAAAAGAATACACAATAACAAACTGACGTCAGCTACCTAAGTTTGTGTTTGTGTCTGTGTGTGTGTGAACTAGTTTGTTCTCAAAATCTAATTAGAATTGGGAAACGTGTTTTTTATTTCTTGAAAGCAGCGGCCAGAACTCTGCCAAGTGAAAGCTGGAAAACAACTCCTGAGTGAGCCAAAAACACTTGAATTCCTGCCAAGATCTATGGGCCGATGAGAGCCGTTATTATATTTGTTAAACGCCAGCTTAAGTGATTGCTGTAATTAGTAAACACCTTTTTTCGTGTCGTTTTGTAAAATTTATGACTTGGGCTCTTGGGAACAGAGCTCTGACTAATAGTTGACTTATTTTTGACTGAGTTTTGCCTGTTATATCATTTAATAAATATTTATTTTATGCATTTACAAAGCAACAAATATATTCATAATTTATGTGTTGATTTTTTGTATACCCTATACAAAAATTTGACATGTACAATATATGGAAACCACATGGATTAATGCAACAGATGGAAAATGGTGTCTCATTTCATAATATTTATACACCCAATCAGCTTAGCAGCTACAAAGCAAAGCTAGCTGCTCTCTACAGAGTATTCAGCAGTCGTGCTTTCTTCTAATTTTCCTTTCCTTTTTTTTGTTGATTTTGCTTCCAGGTTTTTCTACTTCTCTTTTAACTTTGGTAATTTAATTTTTGTTCGCGTTATGGTTGTTATTGTTGTTCAGCTCTCATAATCAGTGGCTTTGAAAAAAGAGTTGGAAATAGACGCAAAGTCGACCGGTTTGCGCTTTGATAGAGCTGATGTCATAGGGCCTGATAAACCGCTGAGCAGCCGTGAAAAAGTGCTGAAAGGCTTCCTCGTTGTTGCCACTTGTGGCACCAGGCCGTGTGACATCAATACGACGATTGACAAAACAACGGCATAGGCAAACGCACAGCTGTTCGAGGGGCGTGCCGTTGGCTGGGCCGGAGCTGCCACAAAATGCCAATACAGATAGACACAATCGAGCCGACGTGCAACGTGCTTCCTGCCGCAACGTTCACTCAGTCAATGAACTTTTAGGTCAGGATAAGCAAGCAGGCGACACGCAATGCCAATAGTCACACAATTGCACACAGTCACAGACAGAGTCACAGTCACAGTCACAGCCAAAGTCATAGTCACGGTGATAGTCACACTCACAGTCAGAGTCACAGTCAAAGTCATAGAATAGATATAACCATGACGCCTCACTTACCCACAGGCTTTAGTCTGCGCCTCCGTTGTCTGTTTCAACTTTCAACTTTTTCAACTTTGTTTTGCACAATAAAAAACTTTCAGTTAGCGCCGGGCTAACCGTTTCAAAGGCAAACAGTCCTTGTTGCTTTTACCGCCTGTGCGGCAGGACTTTCAAAACATCTGCGTTAGACGTTGCCAAAAAAGCACAACAGCAACAACAGCAGCTGCAGCAACACAATGCGAGCGATTTCAATTTGTGGGTGAGCTGGGGCTGATTGCGAACTGGGGGAACTTAACTGGGGGACGAGGGGAGTATTTTGTTTTCGTTGTTCGGTGATCGTTAATTGAGTTAAAGTAACAGCTGTCGCACTGTTGGTGCGCACGGTAAATTGAAATACTAGAAATTGCCAAAAATCTAATAAACTACGATTCAACTTTTTTGCTTTGTTTTCTGTTTATGTTCGTAATTCGTTTTTCTCGAATTAAATATTAATGGCTTTTATATCTTTGTTTTCAAATGTAACGCACTCGAGCGCTGCTGTACACAAACTGAGCGCCAAAGTTGAATTCGGTTGCCTTTTTGGTTTGAGCAGCAGCGGAATTAACAGCAGCTGTAATGATGGCACAAATAACAGCAAGAACAGCTACAATGTGAACTTTAACAGCGACAGCTTATGGCTAGCGGCTGTAGAAGCAGCTAGCATGCAAGCAATAACAGCGGCAGTTTTAACAGCAAGACAGCAGCTCTAATGTAAGCAATAACAGCGGCAGCTTGAACTGCAGACATAACAGCAAGCAATCATGTGAGCAATAACAGTGGCTGTTTCAAAAACATTTATGTCATATGCCATATGTTAATTTTCAGTTAGATTATTTATTAATAGCAGCAAAGACAACAGGAAATTTGATAAAACTTCTCATAAAATATTCCTAAATGCCAATACAAGCATATTTATATTTTTATTTTTAAGAACTTCAAGTTTAGCATACAATTTTTAGAAGCGGACTGAATTCAAAGCAGCGGTTCTAATAACGTTTGCTTCTGCAAATAAATGCAGCTGTTGAAGTTATTTTGCACATTTTTGTCAATAGTAAAAGCTATAGCCAATTATACATATTAGCTATTAAGCTTTACAATGTAATTGTTACATAACAGCAGCCTTAACAGCTATCCTAACAGTTGCAATTTAATCTCTTCTGCGTTGGCGCCTTTCAGAGCATCGACAGTTCATGGACTTCTCTTTGGCCACTTCTTAACGGTTTTATTTTTATTCAATTATTTTAACCTTCGCCGCAAATTCTGGCTTTTTACGTTTTCAACTGGAAATTGACGTAGTGCGATTCGCCCACATTTCCTTAGCGAACTGTGAATTGTTTAATGGCTCATTGAATTGCGATAAGTTCGTTTAGGCTTTACTCAGCAGCCCAACCGTTTATGGCGCTTCAGCAATGCCGCCTCTTATTGTTCTTATATAATCATCATCATTCTTACTGTTGCGGTCATACACACATGCACACACAGATTCAGACGGACAACCTTCACCCACACATGCGGCAAATGGAGCGTAAACCCAAAACCATATAAGATCATTTTTCGCTATTCTCGATATATGTGCTCAGTTTGCAATGTAATTAGTTTCAGTGAGCAATTTTATCTCTAAATATTTTAAGCCTGCATAATGTTAATCGATCGCACCTAACTGAAAACATTTTCTATGTAAACGCTTTGGCAATTTAAACTGATAATCTTCACACAATCAGATGTAAACAAATTGATTTTTTTTATAATTTTAGATGTTGCTTTAATTATCAACATCTGTTCTAGTTGATTCATTTACACTGGCCATCAAAATAAATAGACAGAATAATTAGTCAAGTGAACAGACTACTTGATTGATGCTAAAGTCAAGTCGATAAGATTCCACACAAAGTTTCCATAGAATCGATGACCTTCAGTTTTCCAGATTTTTCTTTAAGGTTTACCGCAACACACTATTGATTCGAGCCAATATTGAGGAAATATTTCACTTTCATATAATTCATTTAGGTATACTAAACAAAATTTAATGTACGACTTTAGATAATAGAGCCTACTTTCGGGAGTTAAAATAGAGTAAAACAGTTTATTGTGTGTACAATAAATACATTTTCATGCATATTTAGGATCATTTATTTTCATATTCTTTTATTTTTATTAAGTAGCAATATCACGTTGATGACTTTTTCCGGTTTTCGTGGGCTTACGATATTAATAGCGATAGAAGTGGATTGATGTAAGACGGTATATATATATATATATAATTATACTTCATAGGCGCAATAAATCAATGAAGCGGCGTATTAATATAGGTATTCTATACGTATTATTGAGAATGTGTGTGTATATATATAGGCCGATATATATCGTAGGAGTTAGGTCTGCTTAAAACCCCAGCAAATAAACAGGAAATCGTTTGGCTTATGGACGTACAACTTATAACTTTATGAGTTTATCTATATATAGCTAGAATGCATATTAATGCTATGTCTACTATAGATATAGTGTAATTGTATATATAGTATATACTACTATATATATACATATAGTTGGTTTTTATGGAGCTTACAAGCTATTCATACAAACGCATGTCTTAGACTAAGCATTGCTATCAAATCTGTATCAAAATTTCTATAAAACGTATTCCATTTTATCTGTTATGTACGAGTATACACATATCTTCAATAAATATTCTTCTTTTTTTTTTTTTTTTTTTATGTTTTAATTTTTAGCTGATTTGATTTCTGGCTGTATTTGCATTTGATTTCTTTGGTGTTCAATTTGCAGTGATATTTATCGTTATCGAATTCAATATTTATATATAAATATTTTATTTTTTATAAGTCTTGTGTTTTCAGTTGCTTTCGGTTTGGTTCAGTTATTACTCTTTAATGGAATCGGGTTGTTTGGCTCGCAAATATATTTTGGCTGTGAAACCGAATTCAAGTGCATACAGTTCTGGCCCATTGTAGTCGAGGGCTTTTGCATATATTGTTATTGTATTGTTGTTCTTGTTGTTGTTTATGTCTTGTGTTGTGAGTACAATGAGCATGTGTTGAAAGTGGAACAAGAAGAATGTGATACAAAAGAAGCAAAATAAATACAATAATAATACAATAAAATTAAAATTCTTTCGGCTAGGCTATGTATTATATATATTCCTATAGGCCAATTATTCATATTATTCTAGCTACGAAAGATATTATAGTTTAGAAGCTCAATCCTATTCCATCTCAATATTTATGTTCAATCTAGAAAAGAAAAAATTAAGAAATTAAAGTGTACTTCAAAAAACAAAAAACAGTTTCAAAAATAATATTTTCATAATACATTTATTTTTATATTTTTCTTTTCGTATTTGTGGCTTAGTTGAGCATTAAAAATTAATTAAGTAAAACTTTTCATAAAATTAGATAAAATATATATAATGAAATATATATAAATGTGTATATATTCGTCGCAGAGCATATTATGTTTTACAAAATTAAGAATCCATTTAAAATTTAAAGCATATGTATGTCTATATGCTAAAAAAAAAGGCAAAGTGATAATAATAATGTGTTTAAAAATAAAAAGAGATTTGCGATGCATACAAATCGCAAATTATAATGTTTAAATAATAAATCACAAAACTTAAGCTAAGCACGTAAAATTCTAAGCTATCAAATATGCCGCAATTGTTGTTGTAGTAGTAGCAGACGTTGTTGTTGTTCTATTCTCCAACTCTTCTTCTCCTCAACTAGCGCTTAAATATTAATTTTACGCTTAATCAGTTTTCTTAGATTCATTTCTTGCAATATTGTTTTTGTTTTTAACTACGTAAACTTACTTTATAAAAAGCACAATTATATTTATAGCTTTGTATGTATTATATGCCTAAACACATTTGCGTAGTATCGTATATTGTATGTCTGCATACATAAATATATTTATATATATATATATCGTATATTTGTTATGAAATGTATCAAAAATTTGACTATTAACTAAAGTTTACTATAATCCAAATATAGTCGTTAATTTTAATTTTCTTTTGTTTTGCTTTCTGCTTTGCGCTCTTTAACCATGCACGTACATATACACATTTCTATTTCGATTTATATAAACATAATGATATCATTTGCTCAGCTTTATAGCTCTCTCAATCCATTATAAATAATGTAATAATTATGAATAATCATTTAGCTTTCGTTCATACATACATATATATATTAAGTAAAAACTATGTACGATCTCAAACTTAATTTGATTGAGTTGTTACTTAATTTTATGCCATCATATCATTTCATATCGTATATATATATATTTATGTATATATATATCGTATATAATACGCTTTATCTCTTTATAGTTAATATTTAGTTAAATGTTGATGTTGGTTTTGCTAATCAGTGCGTGATCCCAGACGTTGATCCATTGTCTCCCCATTCGATTCATTTAGTCGGTCAGCGTTTGGGCCACAAGTGCCAATTGATCTTTGAGCACACGGAATGAAGGACGCTCCTCGGGACCATGCGACCAACACTTCTTCATGACCTACAGAAGAATTGAGAAACGATTATATATACTATATAATTATAAATACTATTTTGTATATACTTACTTCGTATATCTCCTTGGCACACGACTTTGGTTTCTCTAGTATAATGCCGCGCTGCACACGCTCCACAACTTCGGTGTTCTTTAGGCGGCCATAGGGCATTTTGCCACAGGTGAAGATCTCCCACATGAGAACACCTACAGAAATAGAAGACAAGTATTAGAATAGTATTTCTTGACCCACTCAATCAGTTCTGCCAGTAACACTCACCATAGGCCCACACATCACTTTTGGATGAGAAGCGCGTGTAGTTGAGCACCTCGGGCGGTGCCCATTTGATGGGGAACTTTGTGCCGCCAGAGCTGGTGTATTGGTCGTCCAGCACGTAGCGGGCGAGTCCAAAATCGGCCACTTTCACAACATTCTCGGAGCCCACAAGGCAATTGCGTGCTGCCAAATCGCGATGGATATAGTTGTGACGCTCCAGGTAGGCCATGCCCTTGCTGACTTGTATGCACATGTCCAGCAGGAGGCCCATGTTGCCAATTAGCGTATTTTCGTGCCGGCGCAAATAGTTGAGCAGCGAACCATGCTTCATGTATTCGGTGACAATATAGATGGGACGATGTTTCGAGCAGACACCGTAGAGCTGTACGAGATTCGGATGCTGCAGCTTGGTCATCACCTTGGCCTCCTCGATGAAATCATCTTCGGACATGGTGCCCTCCTTCATCATCTTGACCGCTGTGTCGATCGAACCACGCCATTTGCCGCGACGCACAACACCAAACTGACCCGAGCCCAGCTCCTCCATCAGCATCAGCTCCATGGGATGGATTTCCCATTTGTCATGGGATAAGCCCGCTGTTGGTGGCACTGGACGATCGCATGGCGACGACTTTAGTCTGCACGCTAAACCGCCCGAATTATGGCGATGATAGTTTATCAGATCCGGTATAGTCTCGCAGCAGTGC